GACGATGTATCTCTTTTGCCACGGGGTGTGAAGACTCCTCACTCATACCGATGAGTTTAACCAAAACCATCATGCACACCCGGTGTGCCTTACGTTCCTCAAAGTAGTATTGGTGCCTCGCTTTGGCGTAGCCCACCATTACACTCATTCGGTGTGCAAGTATTGTTTTGGAAAGGCAAGTTTAACTCAATATTATTAGGGATCTAGGTTTTCTATGTTGGTTGATTTAAGTGAACTTAATTAATCATCGCAACATAAAGAAAGCCTAAACATGCATCAAACATATCATTCATATATAAGCACTAGCATAAATATAAAGCATAAGTATAAGATGCATATTGGCAACTAGCATGACCCCTTGAAATCTTCAAGTCTTCAAAAGGTCTTCACTTGCAATTTCAAGGCTTCGTCTTCCAAGTAACTCCGTCTTCAAGACTTAACCAAACTATGCAAATACTAGTATCTACGATTAGGACTAATCTAAATATTAAGGTATAAAAATAATTAATGGTGCGTAGACCGTATTTAGATTTACAAAAATACATCACGGCACGTAGTCCGTATTTTCTATCCTAATCGGGTCCCACTAGTTGTCATTTCATAAAACTTGTGAGAGAATATATATTCCATTCATCCGTTCACTATTTGTGAATGGCCCATACATTTTACAACAACAAACAAGTAATAATGCATTAAACAAACGCGCGCACTAGTAACTAATCTAGGTGGTTAATCCGATTAACTTGCCTAATTAAAACTAGTCAAAGTTGTTTAACCGGTTATGAAAATAATAAATGAAGCTCCCACTAAATTCCGCATCCAACTTTATTAATCCAATTAATTAAGTCGGTAAACCCAAATATTTATCAAAATAAATTTTTCCAATGCCGCTCAAAAACCGAGGCCTAGCCTCCAAAATTTATTAAAATAATTAAAACCAAATTAGATTAATAAAATAATTAAAACGGAAAAAAAAGCAAACACGAAGCCAACCGTACTCAAGTGGTTCACGCACTACATACGTGCCACACGAAAGTCAAGGTTGTCTAACAACCCTGCACTATACGGCTTGGCGCACGTGCCTTCACCACCCCACGTAGCACTAGCTAGGTACACCATAGTAGCGTTTGCTACGGGTAACAAGGTGCTAGACACAAGGCCACGGCTGCTTGCCCCTTTGCACCAAAACACCAAGCACATACAAGCACTAAACGCTTGCACACCCCCACGCACATGGCCGCACGCATCGACCATGCCCTTGGCAGCCACATGCGGGCTGCTATGCAGCCCGGGTAGCCAAGGGAGGATTTGCCTCGATTTGCATGCCATAGCCTCGGGATTTTAATCCCAAATTTCGCGTGACAATTTATTAATTCTAAATTAATTTTAGAACTAATTTTCGTGAGCAAAATTGAAAATTTAAACAAGTCTAACTTAAATAAAAAATCATCCAAGTGCATGTAACCAAAATTATTTCCAAGAACCATTCTTTAATAAAATTGGTTTAACTTGGTGCAACAAAAATAAGAGGGCAATTACTCACTATCAATTTAATTAATTTAAATTAATCTTGAGTTTTTGACAAAATAAAAGGGTGTTGAAAAATGAACATAAGTTCAATAAAGATTCCAACTTTAATACTTGTGAATCCTTGAAAAAATTATATCTTCCAATATGAAGATAAACAAATTTCTATCACAAGTTTCAAACTTTATGATTCCAATCAACTAAAAAATGATTGAATCAACAAATTTCAACAAATATTCATGGAATTTAGTAACTCAAAGTTTCAATCAATTAATATAATTAAAGATTGAATCTTTAGTACTTGGAAGCCTCAAAGAACAACAATTTCACACTTAATGCAATTAGTTTGCAATGATGTGAAAAGTAAAATCAAGCTTTCAAACACAAATTACCTCCAAGTAATCATGCCTAAAGAGGTTTAAAATTGCATACAAAATATGTATTGAACCAATTACATAGCCACCATAAATATGCAATTAATTTTCAAGGTTAGAAAGACTTAAAATTTTTCGTCTTGACGAAAAATCCCTCGAAAAGTGCATTTCTGGTCGTTTTTTGGCTAATAACCGAGTCCTTAAAGGGTAAAACCATTTCCATAACACCTTTTCCACCCAAAATTCAGTATTTTTTGGTCGAAATCTGGGTTCGGGGATGAAGACAGGCATACAGCTTTAATACGAGGTTAAAATAAATAAAACGAGCTACTAAGGGGTTGTTTGGTATCATTTTCGGTTTTCAGTTTCCTTTTTTTTGAAAACTAAAAACCAAAAACAAGAAACAAGAAAAAGGTGTTTCCACTTTTTTGTTGTCAGTTTTCAAAATTATTATGATTTTAATAAGTTTAAATAATTTTTTATTTATTATGTGACATATATCATATACTTTTATACAACAAAAAACCAAAAAACAGAAAACCACAATAATGCCAAACAAACCCTAATCTAATTAGCAACTTAATACAAAAAATTAAGCTATAAAAAAACCATGAAAAATATTATGATTTTAGAAATAAACAAGCGAGGCTCCGATACCGCTGTTGGGGTTTGGTGAGTCCGACTCACCGCGGAAACAAACCCAAATACAAGACCGCACTCGCAATAAATAAAACCATAAACATAATTAAATTAATCACAAGATTAAGATAAAATAATTACCTTTGGAGCGTTCTTCGCCCAACCGGAAGGGGCTCATACTTCGAAAGCAAGCCTCGAAATTACGACGGCCTCCAACGATAGTCCACCCACAACTCGACCACCGAAAACAGTCCAATGCCTTTAAGTTAGCAAAGCCCGGCCAAAACCCGAGTAATTTATGAGTTCAAAGGTTTTCACAATGGTGATTCCTTTTACAACTCTTACTCAAGTGTTTTTCCCAATACCCCAACTTGAGTGTTTGTAGGGAAATGCATGAGTGTGAAAAGCTCTCCCATCAATGTAGGAGAATCAGATTTTCCCATTTTATTTTAAAGCTAAAATAAAATTAATAATCAAACTAGTAATAAATCAACAAGTGGAAAACTCATGTGAGAGGTTAGGTGAGGACCATTTGGAGGAGGGGGGCACCAAACTAGCTCCCCACTCTCTCCCTCACCTTGCGCCACTTGGCAACTCTCAATTGGGCACCAAGGCACCCAAGTGGGCTTCCCATTTGTTGTTTCCCTTCTCTCGACCCAGCCATCCCCGCAACACAAAATGCGGGCTACTGCTCGCACTCTCTCGACTGGCACCCCATGCACTTGCGTGCGGGCTGCTGCTGCAAGCATGCCGTGCACCTTGTGCGGGCTGCTAGTTGCAGCCTCCTAGCAAGCCCTGCACTTGGTGCGGGCTGCTAGCTATGCTATACCTTCTAGCACTCGGTGTTCCGATGCTAGGGGTATTTTGGTCTTTGTTCATTTATTATTATTTTCACGTCTCGTCTTTTACTATTTTTCGACTTGACTTCTAACGTTCGGTTTCGACGCTCTAAGCTCGAATTCCCGACGTCTAAATATGAATTACTCGGATGACTTATTAATTCCTTCCGGATTAATTCGTCGCTTCTGTTCGTTAGTTGCTTGGGCGTGACCCGAAGGGTTCAGTCAAGATTAAGCTGTAATATTAATTATGCATTAATATTACTAATCGGAAGCGGCCTCCACCCAGGCATTCCGATCACTTGACCTTACTGAATATATTAGCTTTCTAATAATTCTTAACTCACTAACGGAATAGTACACTTGTTCGAAGGACACCATTCCTTTCATTTTCCTCACTTGAGTCACTCTTCTTCTCATCCTCCTCACTCATCCTAGAAACTCTATCTTCAAGCACTCTCCCACTCCTTTTGGTGATGGTATACACTGGTTTCTTAGGATCAACTCCTTCAGAGGGTAATGAAGAAGGGATAACACAATCTTTCAAGGTATTGGCTTGTTAAGTGATTTGGGTCTTAAGCATCTTAGTATGTGTCATCATTTTATTAAACATCTTATCACTTACCGCAATGTAAGTGTTCAAGATCTTTGTCTGATTTTCTATGATCTCCTCTAAGGTAGTCTTGGAAGATGGGGGTTGAACATAGGAATTATCACCATTGCCTTGAGGTCTTGGAGAAAATCCGGATAGGGGTCCCCTTTGCTTGTTGTTTTGAAAATTGCCCCTATTTTGATTGTTCTAATTACCTTGGCCTTGATTGTTGCCAAAATTTTGGTGTTGGCCACCAAAGCTATGAGATTGGCCTTGATTTCCATACCCTTTGCCTTGATTTTGGTTACTATAACCTTGATTGTTATAGATACCTCAAAAACTTTGATTTCCTTGGTTCCTATAACCACCATCGTTGTAGTTATCAAAACCACCTTGTTAATGAGCATTCCTAGTCCCAAAATTCCTTAGACCATCAAATCTATGTCCATTGTTATTGTTGGAAACAAAGTTCACTTGCTCACAATCATTGTTTTCAACATCATCACAATTCTCAAAAGCATGTGGACAACTAGAGGATTCATGGTCATAAGACCCACAAACATCACAAAAGACACAATCACTTGGCATATTACTTGAAGTAGAAGGAGGAGTAGAGTTAGAAGACGTTTCTCTCCCCTTAATCACTACTACAAAAATAGGCAAAGAGACCCGTTGAAATATGCTTGAGAGACCACCTCTGGACGGGTCTCTATCTCAGGGGTTTCTTTGAATAAGAGACCCTTTCTCATAAGGGTCTGTTTGTGCGGACAAAGAGACCCGTTGTCACTGACAACGGTGACAACGGGTATGTTATTTACGCGATGAGATTGATAGTTTCGAAGAGAAAAAGGCCCATTGCTTGATATAAGGGGTCTGTTTAATTGTATAAAACAAACCTGTCATGTCAAATAACGGGTCTCTTTGTTCTTTATATTTTGAAAAAATATAAAAAATTATTTGTGTTTTTTTTTTTTCGATTTGCATTTTTATTAATTTTATGGTCTTTCCAAATAAGCAGAATTGAGGAGCTAAATTATAAATTGGTATTAGTAATTTGTATACTTAATTTGTATGTAACATGCAAATTACACTTCAAATTGATGAGATAAAAAAAAAAAAAATCAACGAACATAAAATCCCAACAAAAAAATTGTTTAAATTTATTGAAATTTACAATTACAATTACATAATTAGACTTGAGTACATGCTCCATTTGCTACCTTCTTTGTTTGATTGTAATGACATCAAGCAGATGATAAAAAAAAATAAAAATCAACGAACATAAAATCCCAACAAAAAAATTGTTTAAATTATAAATAATGAATGTTATAATTGAGAATCCATATAAACGAATAAATACTCATGAATAATGGAACTAAAACCTTATGTAAGATCAATCAATCAAATTTTATCAAAACAGAATGTCCCAAAAGAGAGATGAGAAGATGGTCCAATATATCTTTATACGAGCAAAATTTTCTCAAGATTGTTCAGCTAAAAATATGAAGCAGAGTCCATTAACAAAATTCTGGAAAGATGCAGAACCAACTGTAGAAAATGATATTCCTAAAATATACAGCAACCTTTGGTGGGAGAAAAAAGAAAAATTAAAGAGCAACAACCAAAGAAAGGCACGCAATCCACAAAGAATTGAAAAGAAAAGGCGACAGCCAACAGGTAATATCTAGATAAGAGAGGGTGGAACAGAAATAATAAAATCAAAGATAGTTCACAACATATGGACCACAAAAAAATTAGAATAGAAAAGCCCCAAATTTTACATTTTAATAAATCAACAAACATTTCCATCTTTCTTGCCTCCTAAAACATCAAAAACAAAAATCATGGGTTAGCAAATTAAGAACCCTAACCTTAGATCAGTCACAAAATCAAATCTAAAAAAAAGGTAATAAAATTGGATGATTAGAAGAGATAATGATGATAAAATTACGGGGTAAGGCCAGCTTGCTCTTGAAGAACACGGAATTCATCGCATTCTCTCTCCTCAAGAATCTGCTTGCGAAGCTCCTCTAATTTGCGTTGTTCTTGTTCGTGTTTTTGCTCGGCTTTCCAAACGTTTTCAATGTTTCGAAGGCTTCCAGCATGCCATCCTTGTTCAGAAACTTCAACACCATTGTTATTAACCCATGATTTTTGTTTTTGATGTTTTATGATCTGAAATTGTTTTCAGAGGTGGACACCTCACACCACTACACCACCAGCGAGAAGCCGCGAAACGCCGGAACAAAAAGAGGAATGAGAAACCCAGAAAGGGAAGGACCCAGAAGAGAGAGAAATAAAGCGGCTCTAGGATTGTAATGGAGAACCCATTGTTGTAGATAGAGAAAGCTGTTATCATTTTTAGAGAAGGAAAGCGGCGTGAAGAGGATGAATTGTGATCAGAATTGAAATAGGGAATAAAAAGAGAAAGAATAGGGTTTTGTTATCAATCCTTTAAGTGGTGAGCCATTACACATATAAGAAACCTGTTAAGTCAATTATGGATCTCTTTTTTTTTTTCCCTCCATCTTTTTGCGGGTCCTTTGATACATAAGAGACCCGTTATCACTAATATCAGATCTAATATATTGAAGAGAGCCGTTGAATTAATCAACAAGTCATTTATTATAGGTTCCTTTAACCATTTTTGTAGTAGTGAATGTGGGAGGGAAGACTTGGTGCAATAAAAGAGGCACTCTCTAGCATGGCCTTGATCAATGTCATCTCTTTCCCCAAGTTTGAAATTTGGGAAGACAAGTAATTGATTGCATTGAGATGATCAATCGAATAGACCGTAGAGCCAATCTTGCTTGTAGACTCTCTCTCTCCCTCTTGCCAATCCATGTCACAAACTACATCCTCAATTATATCTACAACCTCTTCCTCGGTCTTGTTCATAATCGGGCCTCCAGCTCCGGCATCAAGATATGACTTCCCTTTGGGACTCAATCCTCCATAGAAAATTTGTATGATTTGGTAGGTCGGGATTCCATGGTGAGGACATTCTCGTTGATAAGCCTTAGCTTGTATCTTTCCCAAGCCTCATAAAAACTCTCACAGGCTTTTGCTTGAAATTTTGGATTAGAGTTCTTGCCTCGATAGTCTTCTTTTGAGGGTAGAAACAAGAAAGAAACTCTTTAGTTACCTCATCCCAACAAGTTCTCAAGGAATCAAGCTTCACTTCCTTGTCTAGCCACTCCAAAGCTCTTCCGATTAAAGAGAACGGAAATAGCTTGAGCTTTATGAATTATTGAGAAACCCCATTTGTTTCGGGGTTTTTTGATGTCCTGCGGGAGAGTTACAATTCCTAGACAGGAACCGGACGCCTGTACCTGCAAAATAACGGAGACTCCTGGTGGTGGGAGCTCCGCCTGCAACGGTCAAGTTAGTACTTGATTAAGGAGTAATTAATGCGGAAATTAAAGTGATTGGGTCTCTCTAGGTGAGAGTGTTTAATGTAGGTAATCTGCTTTGTTAGCGAGATCAGCCGGTTATTACTGTGTGTAATTAATGTGTTTTTTCGTAATCCCCCTTAATGAGGATTAAGGGAGGTATTTATAACCTTGGGAAACGTGCCCATCCTAGGTTTAGGTTAACCTAGGGCTGATTGGGCTTCCCTCGGAAGTTGGGCCTGGGTGGCCGGTTTCTCCATTAGGCATGGAGTATGCCACATGTCATGACATAATAGGTCCAAGGTGGACGAATAAGCGCGTGCCACGTGGCAAGCCCTGACAGTTCCAACTGGGGGACACTTGGCAGGACCTGATTGGCCCACGTGGCGCATTCCGATTGGTGGGAGCAAAATCCCCTAATCATTTGCCCCTCACAGGTGGCACGTACTGGTCACGTGTTACCTGTGACAGGTGTCACACTGTAACAGGCGACGACCTTCTACAGGTGTCAGTCGGCGAAAGGCCCGAGAGATTTTCCCGCCCAAATTTTGAATTCTGAAAGTGACCCTTCGCCTTCTCACTTCGCCTATATAAGGGAGGATTGTCTTGAGTCATTTTCACACTTGAGAACTTTGAGAGAGAACATTCAGACCCCTGAACTTGCTCTGACGTTTTGGACCTTTTCTGCCTACCGCCTGTTCTGACAAGCCGACTGCACAGGATTTTCAGCACTTCATCAATCGTCACTCGTTCAGGTAACTGTCGGTTCTCTTACTCTTAATTTTCTTTTTATTTTTTGAAATGGCACCACGGAAGCACACGACACGACCTAGGTTAGTGATCAGCCGGTCACCGGGGACGGCTGAATCTAGGACTAGGAGTGCCGCCTGCCCTTTTCCTGACCCATCTTTTCCCTTTATACAAAGTCCGACTGTATCTGTGTCTATGCAGAGCAGGATGGCCAAAACGAAAAAGACTGCTAGGATCTCAAATTCAGACGGCTCCTCCCACAGGGTGCCGCTTAGTGAAACATCTGACCAGGCGCCAGATGTGGAAGTGAAACAAGGCGGCCTGAAAGCCGACAATTCTGTGGGAGGAGTCATAGTGACCCCTTCCCATTTAACAGTTAACAATTCTGCTCCTTTTCAAAGAGAGGAGGCGGGCCCCTCCGGGAGAGGGGAGGAGTCGTCCTCCTCGGACTCGTCAGAGGACGATTCCGAGTAAAGCTCTTCTGGCCATGCTTCTTTGGACACAGAAGAGAAAAACAGCCGCCTGCAAGAGGCGAGACTTTCTCACGCAGTTGAGAAGGGGGACAATTGGGCGGAGCCATCCGCCTCTTACCGAGAGCAAAATACCCCCTACTACTGCACGGTACCTCGGGGCCGGATCACAGCCATGCAAGAGAAAGTGGAGAGCTTTATTGCAAACCACACCATGGGCCCCGACTTTCTAGTGTTTGTGACGGATCCAGAAGACACAGTCGTCTGGCCGGCTGGTACCAGTTATGATAGCGCCTGCTTTGGCTGCTACGAGGCGGACATCAAGGCAGGGCTGCGCTTCCCATTACATCCGGCTGTTCAGCGGATCTTGGATGGGTATGAGTTGGGGTTATGGCAGTTAGCCCCAAACTCCTGGGTCAACGTACTCGGCTATGTGGCCGGGTGCGAACTGCACGGGGTGGAGCCGAGCTTCGAGGCTTTTGCCCATATGAACTATCTCAGCCGGACCCCTAAGACAGGCGGTACCGGCTGGTATCAATTGACAAGCCACAGGGGCTACCTCATGACGAGAGGTAAAGCAAACAAGTGGAAGGACTGGCGGAGCACCTTCTTCATCATTGAGAGTTCAGACACTGAGCTGAACAAGCGCTTCAATAGGTGGAACAGGAATCCGCCCCTTCTTGCAGGCGGCCGTAGCATGCCGCCTGTTCCCCCCAAGGCTAAGAAAGAGATCCTTGATAAAGGACTCTTTAAAGTAGAGTCGAGGGTCGACTCTACTTCAGGGGTACGAGAGCAAGTACCCCTGCACTGCGTCCCGAGCTTCAAATGGCTCTACGACGAGTACTTTTTGGCCGCCTGTGGCCTCAGCAGTCGGTGCTCAAGAGGTAGTCGGCCTGTCGAATACTCTGTTGTTCCATACATTTCTTGTTATGACTTTTATTAACTTTGCTGTTTGTTTTTGCAGCTGCCGCCATGAGCAAAATCACCGCCTCCAAGACTGCGGCGGCCATGTTGCGGGCCTCCATCATGCAACAAGCTTCAACCGACTCCACCAAGAAGGGGGCACCCTTGGTGAGCTCCGAACCTTTCACCCTCTTTTTGGAGTTGTGTTTATGCATATACTAACTTTTTTTCTTCTTTTTTAGACGGGTGCTCCAAGAGCTTCATCTTCCCAACAGCCGGACCCCAAGGCCCGGAGGACGACTGTTGCGAGCTCTCCTGGTTCTGCCAGGAAACATGTGGCGGCTGAGAAACAGCCGGCCACTTCTTCTAAAACTCCAACTAGGCCGCCTAGAAATATGAAGTTGTCCTTGTAAATTTTTTACTCACTCCCTTTTTTACTAGGTCTAATCCGTTTGTTTATGCTTAATGCAGCCGGCCCTCAGGAGCCTGACTTGGTAGAGATGGCCAAGTCTATGATCAGGGCAGTTCCTCCAGCTGAAAGGGAGGCGGTCAGGGGTGTCGGCACCCTTGACCTAGACGGGATTGCAGGGGTCCTTGCTGAGGTATACTTAGCATATTTTTGAGTATTTGAATTTCTGGACGCCTGTTTTATTTTTTGTTTGGAAACTGACGCCTGTTTCTTTTTACTTAGGCCCTGCTCCGAGTGAACGGCCTTCGCAAGCCGCTTGACCGGAAGAACAAAGAGGTAAAGGCAGCAAAAGCTATGGCCGCCTCCAACTGTGATAAGGCAATGTTTCAAATTGCCCAAAATGAAGTTCTGACCATTGATATTCTTTATTATCAGGCGCAGGCTACCGCCGCTGTTCGGGCTCAGTTAGAGGCGGCCCAGAAGAGGAATGGCGAGCTGGAGGCGACCATCACCAATCTCAAGGCCGAGCTGAAACCTCTTCGCCTAAAGATGTACTCATACGAAGCCTTGGAGAAATCCTTGGCCAACGTAAAGGAACGCCTGGTGACCCAAGAGAAGTGTCTTACCCAGGAGCTCTCGGAAAAGGCCGAGCAAGAGAAGAAAGAGCTGGTCCGGGAGATGATGGAAGACTCCGCTCAAATCCAGCGCATGACTTGGGGCTGCCTCTTCCCTAATGCAGACTTTGCCTCATGGGAAAAAACGTACCACTAGTGTTCTGATACATATAATCAAGAGATCCTAGCGGCTGCTGAGGAAGAGGCGTTGGAGGAAGCGTTGGAGGAGGAGGAGCCGGTAGTGGCGCTTATGCCGCTTGGGGGTAATGCATCAAAAAAGGATGCAGCTGAAGCCGAGTCCAGCAAGAAGAGTGTTGACCAGGCGGCAGCTGCTAATATTGAAGATCTGCCCCCTTCTTAAGCTTTATGTATTCTTTCCACGGCCTGCGTGCCGTTTGTTTTGTTTTTACCCGGCCAGGGGGCCGGGGCTTTGAATATTTTGCCGGTCTTTAATGACCGGCTTCTTTTTAATGAATTTTTGTTTTGCCTCAAATTTGTCTAAGTATTCCATATTCTAATATCCAATTGTTCACTAGACCGACTGTTTTACATGGCCGATAGTTGCAGACAGGTACGGATAGTTAGTCACGCCGCCTATGCCCCTAGACGACTGGTTGTCTGTTTCTAGGATAGACGATCAGTCGGCCATTTATCCAATCGGTATTCGAACTATTTTAAGGTCTGGATCCTTTTTAGGCAGGCGGTCCTGTCATTTGTAAATTTAACCAAGTAGGAAAGTGGTCTGACCAAGTAAACATGAGTGTTACCTAGTCGCCAAGGAACTGAGTAGTAGAGATAACAAGCGGCGGGTACCGGTTGTTTCCCTTTATTCGCCAATGTTTGTTGGCTTTTAACTCATAATTTGTTAACCTAGCAGGAGTAGTGGTTGAGAGCCCATGTTTGCTAAAAACAGGCGGACGACTCATACCTTTTAGGCTCCATACTAAGTTTGAGGGAGTGACTATAAGTTAACATAGGAGTTACTTAGTCTCCGTCACACTCTAGATTGAGTAGTAGAGGTACCAGGCGGCGGAGGCCGGCTGATCCCCTTGATTCGCCAATGTTTGTTGGCTATTAACTCAATAGGTTACCTAGTAGGAATAGGGGTTTGAGTGCCCCTGTTTGCCAAAAAACAGGCGGTCTACTCAAACCTTTTAGGTTCCATACCAAATTTGAGGGAGTGACTATGAGTTAACGTTGGAGTTACTCAGTCGCCGTCACACTTGCTTGAGAAGTAGAGGTACCAGGCGGCGGAGGCCGGCTAGACCCCTTGATTCGCCAATGTTTGTTGGCTA